TCAGAGTAGTTTCAGATTAAAAACTGTAAATCATTTTTATTTAAATCTGAGAAAGCTTTCATTATGGTATATTTTAAATAGTAAGAATAAATGGCAATAAGAGTTCTTTTGAAGAAACGATCTAATGGAAGCACGAGGCACACAAAAACTCATTCAGAGACATACATCAAAATGAGACCAGTTATTTCAAAAGGACACCAAAGTTAGCATGCTCACTTGGAACAACTAAGTCTCAAAAGGAATAAAGACCAACTAATGGATTAAAATGCACAGAACAAAGAATTCATGAGTAATTTTATTTTTAATAGAGGCAGAGAACAGGGTCTTCCTTACAACAGAATTCCAGCTAATACAAATGGAAGGAATGACAGAATGAAAAATTTCAACACTGGGGCCTCCCTGTTGCAAGAGGTTAAATCTTAGCACTATTAAGCTATAGCAAGTCACTGAGGCTAGAGTCGAAATCACATGGTGCAGCAGACATCTCCTGCCTCATCCACTAATCCACTCAGTGCATTTCAATCTGCCTGTTTTGCTCCCCATTTTGTCTCTGATGAATCCTCTCACACACACCCAACCCACATCTCTGGCAGACACACCAGCTCTTGAATGCATAAATAAATCTTTAAAAAAAGAAAAATTTCAACACCTAATAAAAGCCAAAGTGGATGTTAAAACAGTTAAGCAAGAGTTACTGGATAACAAGTTATTCCTGGGACCCTCCCTGGTGGTACAACTATGAAGCTAGCCACCACCACTTCAGTACAAGTTTGCTCCCTAGCCAGGGAGGAGACCCACATGGCCCAGAAGATCTCTCCTGTCTCATCTGCTGCTCCCCTCAGCAGTGTACTTCATCAGTTGCCTCTCCTGTTCCCCACTGTCTTTAAATGTTCTCACTGCCCCTGCACCTCCTGTCTTTACCCCAGTTCTGTATGCATAAATAAATTAAATCTTTAAAAAGTTATTCTTAAATGATCACCTTAAAGTTTCCTTATTATTTGCAAAAAGGACAAAGATACTTTATGATGGAGAGAGTGGTCAACTGTAACCAAAGATCAAATTTAGTATAACCAATAGGATGACTAATGGCAGAATGTCATAATGTCTGCAAGTAGCTCAAAAAAGGGTGTTATGTTGGTCTGTCAGTCTGTTTCTCTTTGGGTGTGTGTCCATATAAAAAAATAAAAGCAAAGATTAGAGAATATAAATTGGTGAATCTAAGAAAAAGATGTGCCTGTTAAAGACAAAAAGTTTCCCAAGTTTTCTAGGTCTGAAATGTCTCAAAGAGTTAAGATCACTTATAAAGGAGGGGTGAAGAGGGGATGGTGGTAGTATAAACATCCCCATTATGATCAACCAATAATATTTTCCAATAAAAAGAAAATTAAATAATGTAAGAATAAGGGATCTACCTCTTCTACTATTGGTGAGAATGTAGACTGGTCTAGGCCCTATGGAAAAAAATATGGAAGTTTCTCAAACTATTAAAAATATATCACCCATGTGACCCAAAGAGAAACAGGCTGACAGACCAACATGACACACTTTTTTGAGCTACTTGCAGACATTATGACATTCCGCTTTAGTCATCCTATTCATTGGTTATACTAAATTTGATCTTTGGTTACAGATGGCCACTCCTCTCCATCAATTTTACGCCAAGGTATCTACCTGAAGAATGCAAAACTGCTGGGAAAGACTGCATGTAACAAAAATGTGGGCAGATAAGCACTTAATGGAAATTTGTATAACATTGTTTAGGAGTATTTAAAATGTTATAAAACTTATACATGACCCATTACATTAGTTTCAGAATCCATAACTCTATGAGTTTTTTGTGAAATAAAAATCTTAAGTTTAAAGTAACAATGGCACTAAACTGCTGCTATCCTTCAAAACTGCTAAGTAAGGCTTTTGGTATTTTTGTCAATATTAATCTAAATACCAAACTACTAATGACAGTTACAGCTTTCTATGACCAGAATTGATTACAAACTTTAAGACTCATTTTCTTGATATGGAAAATTAGGATTAAAACCAAATAATCTTGGGGCCTCCCTGGTGGTACAGGAGTTAAAGTCTCAGAGCTCTCAAGCTATAGCTAGGCACTATGGGCTGAGTTCAGTCTCTGATCAGGGAGCTGACCCACATGGCACAGCAGACCTCTCTTGTCTTGCCCCGCTGCTGCAGCAGTTTATTTCAGTAGATCTGCCTGTTCTCCTCACTCTATTTCTGGTGAATCCTCTCACTCCCTGCACCTCTGGCCTGTACCCCAGGTCTTGTATGTATAAACAAGTACAATAAATCTTTAAAAACAAAAACTAAAAACACCAAATAATCTTTAAGATACCTTTGAGCATGTAAACAAAAGCCAACAGGGCATTCACATTCACGAAGCTTACAGAGAAGTTGGGGAAACAAACCCACTAAAAGTAACCAGAGGTTAACATCACAACTGTGATGAAATAAAGAATTAAAAGAATATATAATGGGGGTCTCCCTGGTGGCCTAAGGGTTATGTCTCAGCACTATCAATGCTATGGGCTGAGCTCGATCTGAAGCCAGGGAGCCAACCCACAAAGACCGCCGCAGACCTCTCCTGTCTTGCCTCCTGCTCCCCTCAGCACTGTATTTCAGTAGAGCCACATGTTCTGCTCCCTACACTGTCTCTGGTGAATCCTCTCAACTTCCCCCACCCCCACCTCCACCTCGACCCCTCTGGCCTACACCCCTAATGTTGTACACAAAATTTAAAAATCATTTTAAAAAAAAGAAAAATATATATAATATTGGAATTCCCCTTAAGAGGAACAAATGTATAACAAAGAACTGAGAGAATGGGTACACACAGAGTATATGGAATGAAATCTATCTACGCAAAAATAAACATGGCATGTTCAAGGAACTGACAGAAGGCCAGAATGACTGAATATACAAAATTACTTAAAGTAGTTTTCAGCACACAGCAAAATTTCTAATGTACAAAAGTATATATAAGCTATTCCAAAGACAGTCTAAGGACTATATTCAAAGGAGCTTCAAAACTTCAGAATAATTCCTCTTAATGCTAAAAAAAAAAAAAATGCTGTGAAACAAGAGCAGCATTCCTCCTGCCCACCTGGTGGTGCCTTTTTCTTTCTCCCTTTCCTAACAAACCTATCCTTTTAATATGTAAAAAAGAAAGAAAAGCTGTCCTAAATCCCTTGCCAAAAAAAAAAAAAAAAAAAATCAAACTAACTCTCACTGATTCCCTTTTTTCAATTTACTACTTTTAAATGCATAATAAAAATCTTACTCCTACTTTAGATCATTTAAAGAAAACAACTATAAGAATAAACAATGCTTATACCCTCATCTTGCCACTAACCTGACATGTAACCGAACTTGGTAAATTGTACTCGGTAACTTTTGTCATCTGTAAATAAGGGAATTCTAGATTTTCTTTTAACATCCTACTAACTTGGGCCCTCCTTATTGGTGCAACGGGTTAAAGTGCAGCACTAGGAAGCTAGCCACAGCCCTCGGAAGCTAGTCAGAGCCCACAACCTTTCTCACGAGTGAGATCGATCCCCAGCCAGGGAGCTGACCCACATGGTATACAGGAGACTGCTCCTGTCTTGCCCACTGCTCCCCTCAGCAGTGCACTTTAGCAATGCACCTGCTCTGCTCCCTGCTCTATCTCTGGTGAATCTCCCCACCCCGACCCCTGCACTTCTGGCCTGTCCCCCAATTCTTGTATACACAAGTAAGTCTTTAAAAAAAAAATCTATAAATATTTTCCTTAGTAGTTCTGTATTCATGACTTGTATCTGAAAATAAATATAACAACCATCAACTAGGGGACACATCTTGGTGTTCTTTTCCTTCCAAAGAGAACAATTTGTAGGCTTTAATTAGATTTTGAAAACTGAACTATTATAGGGGCAATTTAAATATTCAATAAACACTTGCAACATTGTAAACATTTACTAGCAACTACAAGGAGATCTAAGAGCAAAGGAACAAAATCATTTCCTAAAAACACAGCTACCAAATTGCTCAAGATAGAATCATCAACATTGTTTCTTCTCTTACTGCCCATCAAGCCTGACTCTCTGAAAGGTCTCTGGATCATGCCCTGTATCACTAACACTCTTTCAGAGCACCGCTTCAAGACATCAACATCTTTTATCTGGGCTACTGTTACTAGTTTCCTAACTGGAATTTCTGCAATCTTTCTCATTCCAGCTGTGATAACCAAAAATTTATCTATCATTACTAAGTGTTTCCTGGGGTGGAGGGGAGATTCCAGAGATGAGCTGGGTGAGAATTACTACAAGTTGGTCCCTTAACAAGAACAGCACTTATTTTGTGAGGCACAAGCTCATGCAATTAAACACAAAACCTAAAACTAAAACACAAGGCTGAAACTTACAACCTTGACCTTAAGAACATAGGCTTAAACTAAGTAAAATGGCTAACACACTACTCTTAAAATCCCTATGAACATGTGGCCCCCTAAATCTTTCTTTCAACAAGTCAGAATTTTGAAAAATCCCCTACCATCTGTCAAAGTTTTGCCATATTATTTATACATTTAAACTTTCTGTTACTAGAAAATTGTGGCAATTAATAACACCTTCTGAGTTTAAACCAGTCTCTTTGCCAGGCAAACATTGCCCGGCAATATCAACATGATGATATTGCTGCAAAATACACAGGATAGTAGTCTTATAAATATCTCCCCAAAAATCCCCACCGAAAAACATTTAAATTCGTATTGTCGAAAAACTGGTAAAATGAAACATACACACATCCTATAATAGTTCTGAACTTAACAGTCAAAAAAAGAATTATACAAGCTAACGCAAAAGCTGTCAGAGGAGGATAAGAAGAAGCTGATGTCTTAAAAAACCTGGTCGGTAAAACTCTAAAACCCAGGCCTCGCAGTACGGTAATGCCAGAGGAGAGAGCCCACCTCCCACAGCCGTGCGACGGTGGACATCTGCCCTGACGGTTACCTTCAGTCTTTTGATCATTTCATCCGTTGTGATTTTGTCGGTGATCTCCTTTACCCCCGGCGGGTAAGCGATCTTCCCGTCAGCACTCACGACGCCACAGAGGGCAGTGGCAGGCTTGGACTGCGCCGTGGAGAAGTCCATCCTGGGGGACAACTTTTCTTTCACAGTCCTCTACCGGCCTCTACCGGTCAGAAAACAAAAGTTCAGCGGGAAAGGGGCGACTTTGTAACCTCTTTTTTCATTTCAAAAATCTCTAATCTGCAAAGGGCCGCAAGTCCCGGGAGGCCGAGCACTCGGCGCCCCCCACCCCCCAGCGGCTCGCCCCC